CCCACCACAGTTAGGGAACCTCATTGCAGCAAAGCCATCCACATTGACCTGCACATGACCCCCAGAGTCACTACCCTTGATAGCAGCAGCTCAGTGATTGCGTTGGCTACTTGGATCACAGCAATCCCCACAGTAGATTTGCCCACTCCAAACTGATTCCCGACTGACCGGTAGCTGTCTGGCGTTGCAAGCTTCCAGAGGGCTATTGCCACTCGCTTGTGAACTGTGAGGACTGCTCTCATTTTGGTATTCTTGCGCTTCAGGGCAGGGGAAAGCAAGTCACAAAGTTCCATGAAAGTGCCCTTACGCATGCGAAAGTTTCGCAGCCATGGGGAATCATCCCAGACCTGCACTTTGCAGTCCCACCAGTCTGTGCTTGTTTCCCGGGCCCAGAATCGATGTTCCATGGCATGAATCTGCCCCATTACCACTGTGATGTCCAAATTGCCAGGGCCCGTGCTTTGAGAGAAGTCTGTGTCCATGTCCTCATCACTCTTATCACCACGCTGCCGTCGCCTCCTCGCCTGCTTTTCCAGGTTCTGGTGCCGCATATACTGCAGGATAATGCGCGAGGAGTTTACAGTGCTCATAACTGCCACGGTGATCTGCGCGGGCTCCATGCTTGCTGTGGTATGGCATCTGCAGGAGAGCAGAGTGGCAGAGGAACCGTGACGATGGTTTGCAGCCCTATTGTACCGTCTGCTGCCAGCAGCCAGGGCCGACGAGAGGGGGGGAAGTTGGTACAAATTACCGGGGCCCGGCAGTCCAGAAGGGGGCCCGGCTTCCCCCCCTCTCGTCGGCCCTGTTTAGCCAGTCCACCCTTGCTGGGGGGCCCAAAAAAATTTTTTTCACCAGGGCCGGAACCCGCTCTTGGCGGCCCTGCCAGCAGCACCCAGGACACAACAGCGGCTGAGCTGAGCAGGCTGCATGCTTGCCATGGTATGGCGTCTGCGCGGAAAAAAGGCGCGAAACGATTGTCTGCTGTTGCTCTCACGGAGGGAGGAGCGACTGACGACATGTACCCAAAACCACCCGCGACAATGTTTTTGCCCCAGCAGGCAGTGGGAGCTCAACCCAGAATTCCAATGGGTCGCGGAGACTGCGGGAACTGTGGGCTAGCTACCCACAGTGCAACTCTCCGAAAGTCGACGCTAGCCTCGGTACTGTGGACGCACTCTGCCGACTTAATGTGACTTAATGCACTTAGTGGGAACACACACAATCGACTGTATAAAATCGCTTCCTAAAAAATCGACTTCTATAAATTTGACCTAATTTCATAGTGTAGACATATCCTCAGAGGATTGACAGGAACTCTGCTGCTGAAGGTGGCTATCAGTGCTGCCAGAGACTGACATATACCCATATGGGGGTAGTAGGGTGGGAGAAGCCCTTCATCTTAAATATGCTGGGCCTGCTACTGTGTTTTATTTAAATTGGGGTGGGGGTTAAGGAAATGATCACATGAGTACTTCTTGCTCTTCTACAATGGGATAATTTCTTGTTCTAGCTTTTCAGATAATTATAACAAATTGGCCATTCAGGGAGGTCCACCGAGAGGCAATGGCACCAATTCATATATCTCTTGGGTGGGGTAGAGGGGTAAATTCCGGTCTCTTCCTCCCTGTCAGATTCCCCATTCCAGTCCCTACTCACTTCCCACCTCACCAGCCCCACCTCCTGCAGCAACCCCAGGTCTCCCCTACCTAGGGAGTCTCCCCTCTCTTTTACCCACACAGTGCATGAGCAGTGCTACCAGGAGCTGAGTTCTCAGCAGACTCTCCTCTGCTTCACTGCACAGGATCAGACTCCCCATGTGCTATGTCACAATGCCACTGATTGAAATTTGGCCTGGCCGCACCCCTTCATTTGAACAGAGGGTGGCTGGGTCAGATTTCATTGATGTTGTGACCATGCAGTTGAGTTGATGCTCCAGACTGCTCTGGCAGTAGCTGTACAGATTTAGTATGTGACCACTGCTTAAGTGGATGGGCCATTCTCTGCCCCTTGCCCCTGCACTGGCTCTGCAGCCTATGTTACTTTGAACAAGGGCAAAAACCATGGGGGTGGGGGCACATTTGCCACCTCAACCTCCCGCTAACTGGCATCAGAGAGGTACCTGAAAATGAGATATTATGGAATTAATTGTCAGATTCCCAGTGGCTTCCAAAGAGTGGCAACCATCCATCTCGAAAGACGATGTTGTAAGTGCGAAAGCAATTCAGTTACTGTGTGTCATGCTGCAGCATCATGAATGGCTAAAAAGTCCAATTGTTGAGCAACAGCCCTTGACACAAATAGTGCAGGCGTAAGCTCAGGGCCAGAGAATGAAGCTGATGCTCTACTAGTGCTTGAGGCCTGCTGCACTTTCCTCTCTCTCAATCATCTCTCTTCAGCATCTTTGATTCCCTGGCATAGATCAGACCTCCCATGTAGCCTATTGCTAGCTATGTTTTCCAAACCTGCAGTGTTGATGTTGACGTTTTTCAAGTTCCTGTTGAAAACGTCCTTGTAGGTTTGCCCAGTGGCCCTGGAGCATCCTCAAGTTCTCCAGACATGAGCTTCTTTGGAATGCATCATTCATTTGGTGCAGATGACCCAGGCAACTGAAACATCTGTGCTTGAGAATAGTGATTATATATCTCAATTTTGCTTTCTCACTTACGTCGGTGTCAGAAACTTTGGTTTCCCATGGCAAAGAGGGTATGGAAGGTGTTTAGCCTCCTCTCATGCTTGCTGTAGTTGGTCCACATCTTGCCACCATACAGCGGCATGCTCAAAATGCACATCTGGTAGACCTGCATCTTGATGTTCATTATTAGTTCCCTGTTATCTGACATATGCTTGGTCAATAGGTCAAATATGGTAGCTGCCTTTCCAATGCGAGAATTAAGTTAATAATTAAGAGATACTTTACCCATTACAGTTGATTCTAGATAGAAGAACTTGTGTGCACATCTTCTAGTGTGTTGTTAGTCAGGTGCAGTCAACACACCTTGTGCCATAATAATTGTTTCTTTAGACTGATGTTTAGTCCAAATTCATCACAATCTAGTGCAAAGCTATTGCAAGGTTGCTGAAGCTTCCCTTCACTCTGTGCATTGAGCACTGCATCATTGGCAAAAAGAAATTCTCTTATTAGCAGGTGTTTGACTTTGCTTTTTGCTCTGAGACATTACAACATTGAAGAGTCTTCCATCTGATCTTGTATGGAGATGTACGCCCTCAGTACCACATGAGAAAGCATGACAAAGTAGCAAAGAGATGAACATACTGAAGAGTTCTGGCACCAAAATACATCCCTGTTTGACACCACTGTGGATCTCAAAGCTGTCAGAGTGATCGCCATCATACAGGACTTAGCCTTTGTGACATTATGGAAGGATCAAATCAGACTTAGGAGAATTGCGGGGAACCAATTCTCTCTAGAAATTGAAAAGGGCCCTTTCTGAAATAGTTCAGGGCTTCCAAACAAATTAGATGGTAAAAGATGTAGGATTTCTGTATTGTGGGATCCTGGGACTGTTTCATACACATCACTGTATTTCCTTCCATTAATTACATTGTGATTTATCGGTGCTGTCCAAAGAAACAGCATGAACACACAATTACTGACCAAGCATAAAAATAGAGAACCAAAAAAATGCTTCCCTGAAAAAAAAAAGGAGTTTGACAGTCTCAGGGATAACCTAGCATTTAGGATAAATAGAGCACACATTTCTGGGCAATAAATTAACATAAATGTACATAGGCAATTCATATTTTATTTTGGAAAACACTATCATAACTATGCAAACTATTGTAAAAAGTAAATAAAAACAGACTTTACTGCAGATTGCACTATACAAATAATTTGCTTGGGCTGTAAACAACGTAAATGTGCATACACTTCCCCAGTACATTTTCAGTGATTAGTTCTAGTAGAATCTTTTTGAATTGAAGGCTGTTAGTGTTAGGATTAATAGTGAAGATCACAGTTTATGGTCACAAATACAAATAGAGATAGGCAATGTGGTCTAGTGCATAGATGACTGGACTATGGTTTAGGAAACCTGGGTTCTACTGGTTAACAGACTGGCTGTGTGACCCTGAGCAAGTCACTCCCCCCCACCACTCCCCAAAATCAAGCTAAGCCAAGCAAACTAAAGCGAATAACAGGCTGGAGGCTAAAATTGGATGGATGAGGTGATAAGCCAGACAAATGTTCAGTCCATGCTGAACTCTATCTACTATAGCTGAGTCATCTCATCAGTACCACCACTAACTTCCTCAGTAACTCCACTTCCCTTTCTTGCTTCTCTATGTTATGGAGTTTACTCTTTTTGCTTCCTAACCCCTGCTCTACAAAGCAAACTTATGTTGATATAACTGCGTTACTCAGGGGTGTTATAACTACCTAACCCCTGGTGTAGTCAGACAGTGCTATGTAGCTGGGAGAGCTTTTCCAGTCAACATAGCTTCTGCCTCTCGGGGAGGTGGAGTACCTATGCTGATGGGAGAAGCTACGCCGCTGTAGTGCTTTAGTGAAGATGCTCCTATGTTGACAGGAGAGCTTCTCCCATCGGCATAGTTAATCCACCTTCCCAGGAGGCAGTAGCTGTGTCAGCAGGAGAAGTTCTCCTACCTACCTAGCGCTGTCTACATACGGGGTTCGGTCAGTATAACTATGTTGGATTTTTCACACCCCTGAGCAACATAGTTATACTGATATAGATCTGTACTGTAGACCTGGCCTCAGTATTTGGCTATGGGCAAAACCACTCATCAACAGAGACACAGGATACAAGGAATATGGGTGACAGTAGAGGGGAAAAACAGTGAAAATTAGGGAGTAATAAAGCAGGTTTTTGGCAACAGTCTCAGGCCCTCTCTTTTTCTTGTGATTTTCTTGGTTAGATAGTGCCACCTCTCCTCAGTTCAACTAGTTTCCAAAGTCCATCCAACTCAGTCTGAATCTCTGCCTCTGAGCTGACCTTCCTTCCCTTTCTGTTATCCAGGTACCTGAGCCTTCAAACAAGAGTTGGGGTTTCCAGTTGTCTGGACCCCTGTGCTAGTAACTCTTGAGTGATCTATCCAGACTGCATTGCACATAACTGAGTGCAGTATTCCTGCTATCCGTGTTTGAGAGATGTGATTCGGCACACCTAGATGGCAGGAGAGAGGTGAGTGGGGGACTTACCTAGGGTTAGAGATTCTGAGAAGCCTTTGAACTTCGCTTAACCAAACCTTTTGAATATCATCCATCACAACAACCACAGGAAAAGGGCCTGATAGTATGTCATCTCATTGTGCATATGAACTCAAATGGTTCTCTCACCGTATCTATCCCTGCCTTTATTGCTAACATTTTCCCATTCATCTGCCCTGGGCTTTTATTCTTGCTCTGAAAAATGGTGCTTGCTTTCCTTTGTTTGGAGTCAAGTAATCTCTTCCCATCCTTCACAGTTCTGTGCCATGTCCCTCACTCTTAACTTCCTCTGTCGCTCATCCTGGCTCACATCATCCTTTCAATTCTTACTCTCCCCCATCTCTTGTTTTGTGCCTTCATGAGGAAAAATAGATAATTGCTGTGGGGGTTTTTAAGTGAAGTGAAAGCCCGTGAAGGAATAGTTATGTTTTGCCCTTTTGAGGGCAATATTATAAAACGCTTTTGGTTTGATATTTCTTCTGTTGCCCTCAGACTGGTCCTTCCAACACCTCCTATTGTGACAATGATTGCTGGCATCACAAGAGTAAGGTTAAGGTGAGCTCTTAACCTTCTCTCTCCTGCTGTGATATACCACTCTTAGTTTAACAAAACAAAATCAGTTTCCACTAGCAAACCCTTCCACCCAAGCAAACCCTTCCACCCAAGCAAAAGTCATAATCAATGATAAAATGGTGGGTGAAAAATGATTTTCCACTCTAAACACTCCCCATACCTCTCAGCTGGCAAACAAGGTTCCATAAATGTGCCTTAGTAACCACTTTTCTTTGCCCAACAGATTATGTGATGAACTGAACTGTTCTGAAGGATCTGTGAAGTGCTCTCAATCATCTCCATTTCCTAACTTGCACAAGTGAGTGTTTTTTCCCTCTTTGTCTGCAACCAGATAGTAATGAGATTTCCATTATGGCCAGAAATCAATCTGTGCCTTTGATTTTCTTCCAACCTACTTCTCCCCCAAATAAACAAGGATTTGATTTGCTGTTTCTGAAATGGGCAGAAAGAAAATGCTTGACTTTTATGCCTACAGTGAGCTAGTTATTTCCGTTTGTTATTTCTGACTTCTCACAGAGAAAAATAATGGAAGGTTTCTTTTAAATATCAGTTAAATATTTTAGCAGCAGGGTTACAATTCCCTCTGTTACAACTATTTCTGCTATATATTGTGACAGACCCAGACCAGTGGGGTACAGGAGTCCGGTAGAGGGCAAATATACTGGTCACTGGATGAATAGTTTTCTGTTCCCTGAGTAACCAGAGAAGGGGCTGCACTAGAGTAATCAGGAACCTGCTAGAACCAGTTAAGGCAGGCAGGTTAATCAGGACACCTGAAGCCAATTAAGAAAATGCTGCTAGAATCAATTAAGGCGGGCTAATTAGGGCAACTGGGTTTTAAAAGGAGCTCAGTTCAGTTTGTAGTGCGAGAGTGTGAGGAGCTGGGAGTAAGAGGTGCAAGGAGCTGAGAGGGTGTGCTGCTGGAGGACTGAGGAGCACAAGTGTTATCAGACACCAGGGGGAAGGTCCTGTGGCGAGAATAAGGAAGGTATTTGGAGGAGGCCATGGGGAAGTAGCTCAGGGAATTGTAGCTGTCATGCAGCTATTACGGGAGACACTATAGACAGCTGCAGTCCACAGGGCCCTGGGCTGGAACCCAGAGTAGAGGGTGGGCCTGGGTTACCCCCCAAACCTCCCAATTGACCTGGACTCTGGGTTCTTCCAGAGGGGAAGGTCTCTGGGCTGTTCCCCAACCCACGTGGTGAATCTCTGAGGCAAGAAAATCCGCCAATAAGCACAGGACCCACCAAGATAGAGGAGGAACTTTGTCACACTGGTGTCAGGGGTGGGATCTTGGGGTGCACAGCGTGGCAGAAGAAGGAGGGTGATTTAAAAAAAAAAGGGAGAGGGTTTACTTTTTTTCCACCACAATGGATGACGTAGTGTGGGCACTGACACAAGCTACGGCGGTCCAGCAGGAGGCTACGCATGTCCAGGCAGCCACCCAACAGGAGGCAGAGCGGCTGCAGCAAGAGAGTAATCGCCTGCTGATGGACCAGGCTGCTCAAGACCGAGCTATGTTGTGGGAACTGGTAAACCAGGTAAATTCCCTTATAGAGCTGAATCGCGGCCATGATGGGACACAGCTCATACAGGCCAGCCATTGGCTGCAGAAAATGACATGGGAGGATGATGTAGAGGCATACCTTCTGGCCTTTGAGAGGACAGCCCTACGGGATGCCTGGCCTCGAGATCAGTGGTCTGGCATCCTTGCCCCATTCCTGTGTGGGGAGGCCCAGAAGGCCTACCATGATCTGCCTGAAGAGGCTGCGGCAGACTACCCCCAGCTGAAAGCAGAGATCCTGGCCAAATCTGGGGTAATGACAGCAATGCGGGCCCAGCAGTATCACGGTTGGAGGTACCAGGAAGACAAAACCCCGCGGTCCCAATTCTATGACCTCATCCATCTCGCACGAAAGTGGTTGAAAACAGAGTCCCAGAGTCCGGAAGAGATACTAGCAGTTCTGGTCATCTACCGATACATGAGGGGACTACCACCAGACCTTCGTGCCTGGGTAAGCCAGAACGAACCCTCCACCTATGACGAGGTTGTCTCCCTGGTAGAGAGGCGAAGGACTGCAAGGGAGCTGACCCGACCAGTTAAGGAAGAGGCACCCCAGGTTAAACTAGCAGCACCAAGCCCTAAAGTTCGGGTGATTGGGCCACCAGGAGGGCCCAGGTGGAAAAAGAGAGAGGCTGAAGGCCCATCAGGGGCCACAAAGAGTCAGAGCACTGAGGGAGAAGAGGATCGTGATGTTAGACTGCCCAAACCAAGAGACCGGGGAATGCCTAGGGATCCATACAGATGTTATGCCTGCGGGGAGTGGGGACACATAGCTGCACAGTGTCCCAATGCTGAGGAGCCTATGCAATGTAACCTGGGGACCTGGGCAGATCCATGCTCCCTAATCCACCTTGTGGGGGTCTCACTAACCCCACATATGTATACCAGACCAGTGAAACTAAATGGGGTAGGGACCACGGCACTGGTTGATTCAGGGAGTGCTATCACGCTTATCTCAGGGAAGCTCATGAAGCGTAGTCAGTTGCTGCAGGCTAAACGTACGGGGATAACATGTGTCCATGGGACAGTTAGTTACTACCCCACCATCCCAGTAAAAATTGAGATCCAAGGGAACACTACTGAGGTAGCAGCAGGTGTAGTCCCTAAACTCCCATACGCGGTGCTCATAGGGAGGGACTTTCCAGGGTCTGGAAACTTACTCCCAGTAGGGGGATTGGAGAAAGATGGGAACCCTAAAATTGAGGCATGCACAGCAGACTGTCAACCCCCAATCTTCTCTGAAATATCCCCAGATTTGTTCTCCACTCCTAGACAGGGTAGAAAGACAAAAAGGGAAAGAAGGGCAGCTAAGGCCTTGGGAACCCGAATACTGACCCAAAGCCAGAGAGTTGCTCTTCTAGGTAGGCAGACCCGCGCAGCTGAAAAGGAGGCCACGCAGGAGGGAGAAGCACCTGTGTCTCACCCCCCACCCTAATGCTTCTGAACCTGTAGAGGCAACAGAGACTGGGCCCCTAGATCTTGGGCAGATTAGCCCCGGGAGAGGAAATTTTGGACGGGACCAGGCAGAAGACCCAAGGTATGACAACATTAGGAAGGAGGTGACTGAAATAGATGGGGTCCCCGTGGAAGGGAAAACACAGGGACCAGGACACTACTTCATAATGAAGAAGGATCTCTTATACCGGGTTGCACCAGTACAGGGGCAGAGGGTACAGCAGATCCTAGTACCTCAAAAACACCAGAATGCTGTATTAAGGCTTGCTCATAGTCATCTTTTTGGGGGGCATTTGGGGGTAGAGAAGACCCTAGCACGAGTCCTACAACGGTTCTTCTGGCCCGGAGTACATGAAGAAGTGCGGAGGTACTGTGCCTCCTGCCCGGAGTGTCAGCTGCACAGTCCCCGTCCCCACTTGAGGGCACCTTTAGTACCCCTTCCCATCATAGAGGTCCCCTTCCAGCGAATAGCCATGGACCTAGTGGGACCCCTGGAGAAGACGGCTCGGGGCCACCAATATATACTTGTTGTTTTGGACTATGCTACTTGCTACCCAGAAGCTGTCCCCCTGCGGAACACGGCCTCTAAAACTATAGCCAAAGAGCTGGTGGGGATCTTTGCCCGAATGGGGCTACTGAAGGAGATGTTAACCAACCAAGGAACCCCATTTATTTCGAAGCTAATGAAGGACCTCTGTCGCTTCTGCATATACAAACCCTGAGAACTTCACTCTACCATCCGCAGACTGATGGGTTGGTAGAAAGGTTTAACCGAACCCTCAAGGCTATGATAAGGAAGGTGGTAAGTCGGGAAGGGAAGGACTGGGACACCCTACTACCCTACCTTATGTTCGCTATCCGGGAGGTACTTCAGGCCTCAACTGGGTTTTCCCCCTTCGAGTTATTATACGGGTGTCACCCCCAGGGCATACTAGATATCACCAAAGAGATCTGGGAAGAGGAACCCAATGAGGGGAGAAATATAATACAGCATGTAATGCAGATGCGAGACCGGATAGCCCGGGTTACCCCTATTGTACAGGAACATTTGGAGAAGGCACAGGAGGCCCAGCGAACCCATTACAATCGCCAGGCAAAAGTGCGACAGTTCCAACCAGGGGATCGGGTTATGGTGTTGGTACCCACAGCAGAAAGCAAGCTTCTGGCCCAATGGCAGGGGCCCTATGAGGTGGTTGAACCCATGGGGGGAAGTAACCTACAAGGTGCAGCAGCCAGGATGCAGAAAACAAGAACAGATTTATCACGTTAACCTTCTGAAACCCTGGCATGCACAAGAGGCATGCACAATAGTCCAAAAAGACCTAACCCAGGAAAACAAGCCTTCCAAACAGGTGAGAGTGTTTCCCAATTTAACACCAGACCAGAAGAATGAGGTGTCTGAGATGATCTTCCGGAACCAAGATGTGTTCTCGACAAAACCGGGTCTAACAACCGAGACATATCACCACATCGCCACGAACCCTGAGGCCAGAGTAACAATGAGGCCCTATCGGGTGCCAGCGGCAAAAAGGGAGGAAATAAAAGCAGAAGTAAAAAAAAAATGCTGGCATTGGGGATCATCGAAGAATCTCACACTCAGTGGTCCAGCCCAATCGTGCTGGTGCCCAAACCCGAGGGCACCACAAGATTTTGCAACGACTTCCGGTGACTAAACGAAGTATCCCAGTTCGACGCGTACCCCATACCTCGCACAGATGAGCTAGTGGACCGTTTGGGTAATGCCCGGTACTTGACTACCCTAGACTTGACAAAGGGGTACTGGCAGATTCCCCTTGCGGAAGACTCAAAGGAAAAGACTGCGTTCTCTACACCAGAGGGTCTTTTTCAATATACTGTCCTCCCTTTTGGACTATATGGGGCCCCAGCTACCTTCCAGCACCTCATGGACAAGCTATTATGCCTGCATAACAGTTATGCTGCTGCCTACTTGGACGATGTGGTCATTCATACCCCAGACTGGGAAACCCACCTGGAGAAGGTGGAGGCAGTCCTCGATACCTTCAGGCGAGCTGGCCTTACAGCAAACCCTGCCAAGTGCGCTGTAGGGTTTACAGAGGCCAAATATCTTGGCTACATTGTGGGTAAAGGTTTGGTAAAACCCCAAATGAACACGTTAGAGGCCATCCAAAATTGACCTGACCAAGTCGCAAGAAACAAGTCCGGGCGTTCCTAGATGTGGTGGGGTATTGCCGACGATTTATTCCCCACTTTGCCACAAGGGCAAGCCCCCTGACAGACCTAGTGAAAGCCCGTGGACCTGATCTGGTGAGATGGTCTGACGCAGCAGAGGAAGCATTCACAGACCTATGGACTGCCCTCTGCAATAACCCCGTATTGATAGCCCCTGATTTCACCAAGGAGTTTATCCTGCAGACGGATGCATCGGAAGTAGGGTTGGGTGCCGTTCTA